ACAAGAATTACCCATACCACTTCCTTTTCTTCTTTCCAAGTTCTTTATAGTGTGTTCCCACTGGAAGAATGCCTGGCAGGCTATTTCCTCAAAAGTAAGAGCAGGCAACTCAGCATTTCTACCAGCCTTACTGACATGCTAGGGGAACTTGATGACACCTTCATTTGCCAGTTGAATGCCTTGATCCCTTCATTTGAGCTGTGAACATGCATGTTTTTTCACACTCATTACATCTCTTAAAGTCACACATCTAAATCCATGAGTGCTTCCAGTTGGGATTTATTATCACAGTATAATCATCCCTTACATTTATATAGTACTTTACAAAGCACTCGTTATGTATTACAGTCACTATATTATAATCCTGTAGGTTTTCTCTTTAGTCTTATAGAATCAGGCCCTTATTTCTATGTATTTAGAGTCACTGTTGACAAAGGCCACTAGACTCTGTTGTGATAGACTTTGATTGTACATATCAATAATAGTATTGATTTGCCTGTGGTTCTAGTTGCTGCATTCCACTTGCTTACCTTTGCCTCCTGTTGGCTGGCTTCCTGGCCACTATCCTAGTTGCCATCCATGGATCTACAGCAGAGCTACTTCCCTACTCCTGCCCCACACCAGGAGGACTTTGTTTACTATAACTCTAGAGCACACTTGGCACCCTAGTTGGTTCTGCTCATTTATTCTCTTGCTGCTGCATTCAGTCTCAACTCTCTTTGTGGTTTGAATACTCTGATTTTGGGAACCAGGGGTCTGGGTTCTTTACTAGATTTCCTTTTGTATACCAGGCTTATGCTTAGTACTTTGAATACAATTTTTTCATATTCTGTGTTTCATTTAACTAAGAATGAATGAAGTTACCCTAGAATGGTAGTAAGGAGGATAAAATGCTAGAGGTCACCTGGTCCAATCCCCTAGTTTTACTTCTGAGGAAATAAACATGCCCAGGCTTCTTTCAGTTGTATCATACCACAGAAGTTTTAAAAACCCTTGGAGGTAAGATTACTCTCCCCAGATAAACTGAGGCCTGGAGTACTTAGATGACTTCTGTGATGTTGTCACAGAGTCAGAGGCAGAAGGCAGCTGTTGTCAAATGTGCCGCATCTTGTCACCTCTGACAAGAACAACCAGGCCTGCTTGACCAGGAGAGTCACAGTTGAGAATGAATCCGATACATCCAGGCTGTGCTGTGCTGACAGACTGAGTTTAGAGTCCAGCTGCCTCCAGGACTGAACCAAGGCCAAACCCTAGAATAGCCTGGGGAAACACACGCAGAGGGAGACATTACACTCAAACTTTTTGCTCTTTTGTTTTGTTTTGTTTTGTTTTGGTACTGGGAATTAAACCCAAGGGAACTCTACCAGTGAGCTATATCTGAGCTATATCCCCAAACTTTTTTTTTCCAGGTTACATTTTTTATTAGAATATTATATTTAAACATTTATTTGTGCTCCTTTTGACAAAATTATGCATATAAGGAATTTTATTTCAATCCCCATTTCTCCCTCTCCCTTTATCCCTCCATCTCTACTTTTCTTCTTTTCACTCCTTTATTTATTTTTGATTGGTACTTTCTACATATACATGAAAGAGAAATTCCCTTGGTGCATTTATATATCTATATATAATGTGATTCTGTTAGATTCTTAATATATTTTTTCCCTGCCCCTTCCTTTCTTCCTCCCTCTCATTCTTCTATTTCTGCTTCACTGATCTTCCCCGGATCTTTATGTTATCTGATCCCCTGCCCAACTCCTTTCTTTCCCTTGTTTTGTTTTAGCTTCCAAAAATGAGAGAAAACATTCAACCCATTCTCTTATTTCACTTAGCATGATTTTCTCCATTTCCATTCATTTACCGGCAAATACCATTATCATTCTCCTTTATGGCTGAGTGAAACTTCTTTGGGTATATACCACATTCTCTTGATTCATTTATCTATTGACAGGCATCTGGATTTATTCCATAATTTGGCTATTGTGAATTGTGCTGCTATAAACACTAAAGTGACTGTGTTGCTATAGAATGTTGATTTTAGTTCTTTTGGATAAATACCAAGGAGGATAACAGCTGGGTCATGTAGTGGTTCCATTTCTAATTTTTTGAGGAAACTCCACACTGCTTTTCCAAAGTGACTATACTAATTTGCAGTCCAATCAACGATATATGAGTGTACTTTTCCCACATCCTTGCCAGTATTTATTATTTATTTTCCTGATAATTGCTTTTCTGATGAGTGAGATGAAATCTTAATGTAGTTTTTATTTGCATTTCCCTGATTGTTGACAATTTTTTCATACATTTGATGGCCATTTATGTTTCTTCTTTTGAGAGATTTCTGTTTGGTTCTTTTGCCTACTTACTGATTTTTTTTTTTGCATTGTTTTTTTGAATTCTTTATATATTCTGGATATTGGTCCCCTGTCAGAGGAGTTGCTAGGAGAGATTTTTTTTTTCCCATTTCATAGGCTCTCTCTTTACACTCTTAATTATTTTCTTTGCTGTGTAGAAGTTTTTTAAACTGATGACATCCCATTTATAGATTCTTAGTTTTATTTCTTGAGCTTTAATTGTCTTGAGGAAGTTGGTACCTGCACGTATATAGTAGAGTGTTTTCTTACAGCAGTTGCAAGGTTTCTGGTTTAATTCCTAAGTCTTTGGTCCATTTTGATTTGACTTTTGTGCAGGGTTAAAAATAGGGTTCTAATTTCATTCTTTTACATGTAAATATCCAGTTTTCTGAAAGAATTAACATTTTAATCCTTCAGAGGACAGTCTCCAACTTCCCAGACTCACTCAAAATTGGCCTTCTTGATCTTTTGTTTGTTTGTGTTTTTTGGTGCTGGGGATTGAACCCAGGGCCTTGCGCTTGTGAGACAAGCACTCTACCAACTGAGCTATATCCCCAGGCCGGCCTTCTTGATCTTGATCTGACCTGACTCGATTTATCTATCTACATTGATAGCCTGTCTAATTGTGGCTTCAAAAGTTTGACTTCTTCTTTTCCTGTTTAATTTCACTCTCTTGCCTGGATGTTCTAGCTAGAGTTTGAAAACTGTATTGACTAGAAGTTTGAAAACTGTATTGACTAGAAGTGGTGAGAGTGAACACCCTTGTCTTGTTCTTGATTTTAGAGGAAAATCTTTTCGTTTCTTTCCATTTGGTATGACGTTGGCTTTGAGTTTGTCATATATAGCCTCTATAATGTTGAGGTAAGTTCTTTCTGTCCCTAATTTCTTAAGTGTTTTTAACATGAATCATTGCTGTATTTTATCAAAAGGCCATTTTTACTTCTATTGAGGTGATCATATGGTTCTTGTTCTTCTATTTACATGGATAATTACATTTATTGACTAGTGTATGTTGAACCAGCCTTGCACCCCTGGGATGAAGCCTACTTGGTCATGGTGCATTATCTTCTTATAGTGTTTTTGAATGGAGTTTGATAATATTAAGGATTTTTGTATCTGTGTTCATCAGGAGATTGGGCTGTAGTTTTTGTTTTCCTAGATATGTTTTTGTCTGGTTTTGTTATAAAGGTTATATTGGCTTTATAGATTGTTTTTAGGAGTGTCCCTTCCCTTTAAATTTCATGGAATAATTTGAAACTGATGTTAATTCTTTTTTAAAGGTCCGTAAATCTCAGATGAGAATCCTGGGCTTTTCTTTGTTGGTAGACTTTTAATTGCTATTTTGATTTCATTACGTGATATTGTTCTGTTTATGTTTTCTATATCTACCTGATTCAACTTGGGCAGGCCATATATGTCTAGAAATTTGTCACTATATTCCAGATTTTGTAGTTTTTTTGGAGTCTAAATTTTCAAAATAGTTTCCAGTGATCCTCTAGATTTCTGAAGTTTCTGTGGGCTTATTTGTTTGCAGAATCGACTCTTTGCTGACCCTATGTATTTTTTTTTTGTTCTCAACTTTATAAATTTAGCTCTGATTTTTAAATTTCCTATCTTCTACTGATTTGGGAGTTTGGTTTGTTCTAACAAGTCTAGGCCTTGAGGTGGAACATAAGCTTATTTGAGATCTCTATTTTTTTTTTTAATTAGGCACTCGATGCAAAAAGTTTTCCTTTTAGTACTGCTTTTGTTATTCCCAACCCTTTTTATTTTTTAATTTCTGACAGGGTCTTGCTCCATCACTCAGGCTGGCCTCAAACTTGCCATCAGCCTTTTGAGTTGCTGGGATTATAGGTGTGCACTACTGTACCCAGCAGTGCTCAGACTCTTTTTTTTATTAGTTGTTCAAAACATTACAAAGCTCTTGACATATCATATTTGATATGCATATTGATTCCAGCGGATTATGTACTCCCATTTTTACTCCGTATATAGATTGCAGAATCACATCAGTTACACATCCACTTTTTTACCTACTGCCATAACTAGTGTATGTTGTATTCTGCTGCCCTTCCTATCCTCTACTACCCCCCCTCCCCTCCCCTCCCCTCCCCAGTGCTCAGACTCTTGATGCTCCCTGATGCTTCCTGAGTTTAGTAGGGAACCTCAGTGTTCTTAATCCTTTTGAAACCTAGAAGAACAAAGAAAAGAATCTCTTTATTTGGTTAGGACCTTGTGGACAGATGTGCAGTCCGTGTACTGCCTAACAGAAAATACCATGTACACGGTAGACATTATAGATTTATGTTCATTATGGCCATTTTCCAGCAGGTAATGGTTGATTATTCTATTAGTTGATGCATTAGAGCACCTTTCCAAAAGATGAAGAGAATACACACTAAGGCAATACTATTTTCTCAGTAGGAAGGTTCAGGCTAGTGGCAGCCTGCTCTTCACTCTCTGAACCTCAGTTTTCTCATGTATAAAATGAGTTGGACTAGATTGATAAGATCTATTTTGCTCTGACACTGAATGAGTCATGTAAGGGCTGATGATATTAATTGAATGCTGTAGTCACAGCCCTTTGCAGGGTGCCACTCCTGCCCCTTTGCTCTGCCTACCCTTAACTCCTGTCTGTTTTTTAAGGAGGAGATACCCTACCAGTGAACTGAGACTACACTGAGCTAAGGGCACTATGGCCACATCAGCCCCTCTGCGGAGCCTAGAGGAGGAGGTAACCTGCTCTATCTGCCTCGATTACCTGCGGGACCCTGTGACCATTGACTGTGGCCACGTCTTCTGCCGCAGCTGTACCACAGATGTCCGGCCCATCTCTGGTGGACGTCCTGTCTGCCCGCTCTGTAAGAAGCCTTTTAAGAAGGAAAACATCCGACCTGTGTGGCAATTGGCTAGCCTGGTGGAGAACATTGAGCGGCTGAAAGTGGATAAGGGCAGGCAGCCTGGAGAAGTGGCCCGGGAACAGCAGGACACAAAGTTATGTGAGCGGCATCAGGAGAAGCTGCACTACTATTGTGAGGACGATGGGAAGCTGCTGTGTGTGATGTGCAGGGAGTCACGGGAGCACCGGCCACACACAGCTGTCCTGGTGGAGAAGGCCGCCCAGCCCCACAGGGTAAGCCCTCCTCACTCGGGAAGTACCCTCTGTCTTCCTTGGGATGCTTCACGATATACATCTCCAGAGGCAAGGCCTGGCTAAACCCCCTCTGGTGGGTTCTTACTGGCCCAGCCCAGAGCACCCATCTGTCTCCACTGCTTGTTTCTCCATAGGAAAAAATTCTGAACCACTTGAGTACCCTCAGGAGAGACAGAGACAAGATTCAGGGCTTTCAGGAGAAGGGAGAAGCTGATATTCTGGCTGCATTGGTGAGTGGGCCTTTAGGAAGCCATGAGCTAGTCATCTATGTGGGACTGGATGGGGAGGACAAAGTTGATGGCATTGAGAGGGGTGGTTCTGGGAGTAGCTCAGGAGGGTGGGCGTTGTGCTGGCAGGGGCAGGCATGGGCAGTAGCCCAAGCTTCATATGTATGCGCCAGCTGTGTGCTTCAGACTTTGGACTTGCTTCTCATCTCAAGGTGAGCGCGCCAGCTGTGTGCTTCAGACTTTGGACTTGCTTCTCATCTCAAGGTGAGCAGTTTGTCTGGATATCAACCAGGGTCCCTGTTCTCCTCATGACTCTCACCTTAGCTGCAGGGCACATGTTGGCAGCTGTGGCCTTCTGCCAGGGAACTAAGTAAGACCTAACTTGCTTCATTCTCCTTTTCAAGGAACAGAGGAGAGATGTGATTTCCTGAGAGTGAAAGGCAGCCAAGAGGGCTTGGGAGGAGAGAGCTGGCTGCAGGGTAGGAGCTGAGAAGGAAGGGGTGAAGAAGGCTGAAGCTGTCTAGGGAGGCCCAGTACGTGGCTAGTGGATAGAAAACTGGTAGCACTTTAGAGGTGGGTCAGGAGGGAAAAAGCTGACAAGATGGTTCCAATTTTCTGGGGGATTGTATGTACTGGGAAAGTAGACAGTAGAAGAATGTTGGGGCAGGACCAATAGCCAGTGACTAGGCCTTGGGAGACGGAGAAAGTAAACCTGAAGATAGCCCAGGTCTAAGGACCATCTGAGGCCCCCAGTATGCATGGATGCCTGTAGCCCAACCCATGCCAGCAGGGGAACTAAGGACTCCAACCAGACCCTAGCCCAGCCTCAGCAGGAAAGGACATGGTCCCTGAGCAAACATTCTGTTTTCACTGAGGAAACATGATACAGTCCTGCATGACAAGGAGGGGGTGCACGTAGACTTTTTATATGTTATGTTAAGATTCTGAAGGAAAGACTGAGCGGGCTTGATGATATTAATCAAGCAAAAGCAACACACAGAGATTTTGTCCAAGAAGGAGCAATGTGTTAGCTCATGAGTAGGACACACAGGAACAGATAGTGGAATCAGTTCTGATTGTGGTAGCAGAGTGAACTGGATTGATTTACTAGTCAGGTCTTTTGAGAATATTAGAGTAGACCAGAGCACTTAATAGCTTCTCTCACCTCAAGGGTTGTAGAGTTCACAAAGGGGAGTAATGAGGGGGAAAAGCTAGCCAGTGCACCTCTAATGCTGAGTCCTGGAGGTATTCTACATCCCAAGATGGAGGTGTCAGCCTTCTCCCTTTCTTCCCCTGCAGAAGAAGCTGCAAGAGCAGAGGCAGTACATTGTTGCAGAGTTCAAGCAGGGCCACCAGTTCCTGAAGAAGCGGGAGCAGCATCTGTTGGACCAGCTGGCCACCCTAGAGCAGTTGCTCACAGAGGGTAGGGAAAAGTTCAAGACCCGGGGCGTCGGGGAGCTTGCCCGACTGGCTCTGGTCATATCTGAGCTGGAGGGCAAGGCACGGCAGCCAGCTGCAGAACTCATGCAGGTGAGTGACCTCACAGGGCAGGGAGCTGGGAGACTCAGGGTGTGTCCTGTCCTGCCTCTACAGCATAGGACCATGGGAGAATTGCTTTCTTATGGTGCCTCAGTTTTCTTACCTGAAAACTGCACCTCATCTGAAACTTGGAAATAGTAATCATATCCTCCCCTCTTATTCCAAGGGTTATGTGAACATAAAGTGAGATAACTGACATGGTGTCACTTCAAATAATAAATAGTTTACAAAGAATATCTAAATAGTTAAAGTGTGCTATAAAAGTGGAAGGCAGGGTTGACAAGATCATCATTACCATGCTCATCACTACCCCCTAGAGCCCTCCTTGTGATAAGTTATCAGTAGATACTTGTTTGGTGACAGCTTAATGTGGTTTTGGGATGAAGAATGGGTTCGTGGCTGGGGTAGCTGAGGTAGTACTGAACAGCAGCTCTTGTCATGAACCTATAGTGTCTGGGAGGGATAGGCGACTGGGGGAGGGAGACATAGATGATGAATTATCCTCAGAAAATAAGGAGAAGAGCAGGTAAGGTGCCTAGGGATGCTTCCTGGAGGGGGGTGGCTTTGATGCTGAGAGTAGGTTGTCAGATTAAAATGACTCCACATCGCCTTCCTCCTGGTACTTCTCAGAGAATTCACTATCCTGACTCAGTAGCTTTTGGAGGGACAGAGGGCTCCATCTTTCCATCCTAATTAGCCAGGAAAGGAGCCATCTCGTGGTTTCCCCCCTCTTGCATGGTTTAGGATGACTGGGCCTGTCTGTCAGCAATGGAACCACCAGGAACTCTAGGATAATGGGATAGCCCAGTAGCAAAGCAAGTTCCCCTATGTGTGCCAGCCCAGGCAGCATAAAGAGATGGCCTCTTACTGCCTCTCCCTGCTATGGATTTGGACATTCAAAAGAGAACTGGCAAGGACTTCGCTCTTCTAATTCAGCCTCTACTGGCAAAATCACTGAGGTCCGGTATATAGAAGGGATTTATGGCAGGCCATGGGGCAGGTCAGGATTAGGATTGAATTCAAGCCTAGGTATTCTGACTTCCAGGTTCTCTGCTCTTGTTCTTTTCTCTTATTTTGTCCAAATGTGTGTCTGGCCCCCTCCTTTTCTCCAGATGTCATTCTGTTCCCTCAGATTTCTTTTTTGCAGGCTCTTTGGGTCACTTGTTTCCCCTCTTCTTCCCCTTCAGCGATGCACATCCTTTCTTCCCCTAGCCACCCACACCACATGTAGATACTTGGTTGCCTGTGTTGCAGAGAGAGACCCAGGGCTGAGGGCGCTAGTAGGGCTAAGGGCGCTAGTAGGGCTGAAACCTGATCCATCCCAGGAGTTGCCTCAAGGCAAAGGCACTGCTTTCACTGATTCAGAGCTTTCTGAAATTCTCCTTGCCATGGGTCAGGGGACCAGGAGAAAGGGGATGTCTGCTTAAAACCAGCACATGAAATATTGACACTGGTGGGATTTTTTTTGTGTGTTCAGGTTTGGTTTGACTGCAAGGAAACTGAATAACTAATTCTTTAATTATTGTTAGTATTTTCCCAGAGATTATTTGACTATTAAGGGACAGCAAGAAAGAGAACCAAAGCAGGGTCCAGAAGTCTGATAGAGAAGCAGAGGTGAGAAGGATCAATAGCAGGATAAAGTACATGAAACAGAGACCTTTGATAAAGGGAATGGAAGAGGAAAGAGTTCCTGGGCTGGGAGCATCAAGAAAATAGTAAAGGGTCAGGGGAATAGAACCCCAGTGTCCCAGAGGGACACTGACCTCCTCCCAGTCTGGCCCACAGTGGATCTTGCATAGAAAGTTTGCCCCTCTGCTTCTCCCACTGTTGGTCACTGACTATACCCATGAAGACCCTTGCAAGTACTCTCTGAAAATAACCAGATAGTCTAAGGAAGCCAGCTTGTTCCCTCTCCATTCCCATTTACTACTCTCTTCTCCATAACATATATCACTTACTAACATAATATGATATTTGTTGCTTCTTATCTGCTCCCCCTGCTAGGATGTCAGCTCTACACAGGTAGGGATTTGTGTCTCTTTCTCTTTTATTGCTGTCTCCTAAGCTTCTAGAACAGTGCCTAGTATATAGGAAGCACTGAATAAAGATTTGTGGAATAGATGAAGGAAGGCAAAAATCAATTAATACAAAGTGCTATGGAGGCTTTAACCTCACAGAAGAGGATCTAAACAGCGTTTCACAAGGACCCCACCCCTACTCACCCTATCCCACCACCAGTCTTTTCCTCATACAGACAGCACCACTTTCTTCCCTGCTGCTCAAGCCACGGCTTGTCCTCAGTTATCCTTGCCTATTTTAATCCCTTGAGTCTATCTCCAGAACATTCCTGGAATGTGCACCTTCTGTCTCCACTGCCACCTCCCTAGTTCAGGCTGTCTTCCTCCCTCTCTGGTCTACAGCAGCATCTCCCAGCTGACCGTCCCATATCACATTGCCACCCTTACTGCATTCTCCTCAGGGCAGCTAAGTGATTGGTCGCCTAGGGTTTGGGCCAGTTGCTGTACAGTAGCTCAAACAAAACAGAAGTTTATTTCTATGAGGGTCTATAGAGGTATCCATTAGGTCATTCTGGTATCCATTAGGTCATAAGGACAACATCACTAGAAGCACCAGCTTCTAGTGATGTTGTCCTTAGCAATGTGGTGAAAGTTGGGTTCATCACCACCGTGTAGAAATTTAGTCAGGAAGAAAAGAGAAACTGAAAGAAATTTTCTTTCTTTTTTTTTTTTTAAAGGACGTGACCCAGAAATCATAGTCATTGCTTTTTTTCATATCCCATTGGCTGGAACTTAGTCACATGACTAGACATGGTTATAGGAAATCTGGGAAATGTAGTTTTCAGAGTAGCTATATGCCCATCTGTAACTCAGTGGGTTCTGTTGTTAAAATGAAGATGACACAGTGGGTCCTGAAAGACACTTTGCAGTCTCAGCTGCATGTAAAGCAGATCACATATGTCATCCTTTTGCTTGAACCCCTTTCCACTGAACGTTGAAGAAATTCATACTCCTACCACCCATATCCATCCCTGCATGATCTGGCCCTGCCTCCTTTTCCAAGCCCTTTCCCATTTTTTTCTTACCAGTCATGTGGCTAACACTTTCTTGTTCTTCATACCCTAACTCTTGTGTTTCCTTGGAGAGGTTAGCCCTGCCATCCACTAGTCGCTTCTGTCATTGTGATTATTTTGTTTGTTATCTTGTTTTATCCAATGCTCCCACTACAATATCAGTTCCATAAGGAAGGGGCCACATTGGTTTTGTTTACTGAAGTGCCCCCACCTCTAATGCAGTACTAATTACATGTGAATGCAGTCTTATTTGACTCACATTGGTGCTTATGTTTTTTTTTTCCCCTTCCAGGATACCAGAGACTTTGTGAATAGGTAAGATTTTTTTTTCTGTATTGTACCTCATTCCCCTGTACCTGTGTCCCCTCCCTTCTTCTTTGTCCTGTTCCATGTGAACCAGTGAGGAGTGATAAACCTGATGGTCTTGTGGGAAACAAGAGCATGACCTGGAGGACTAGATATTCCTTTCCCCTGAGCATATCTCTGAGTAATGCCAGCTTCTTGTAATCACTGTCCTTGTAGAAACCTAACTTAGACAGGAGCCCTAGTATGTGGAATCTGCTGATGGACTTAAGTCTTGACTCAGGTAGTATCTCTGGGTCTCTGTTTTTGTGTCTCTTGATTGGAGATACAAAATAATCTGACCTTTCCTGACCTTTTCATAATTGTCATGAAGATTAGGAGAAAAGTAAGAAGAGCCAAATCACAGGTTGTCATGCCTGTTATCTTCTCAGGTATCCACGGAAGAAATTCTGGATTGGGAAGCCCATCACTCACATGGTTAAAAGAAAGACTGGAGAATTCTCAGATAAACTTCTCTCTTTGCAGCGAGGCCTGAGGCAATTCCAAGGTAAGGGTTGAGGAGAACATCAGGGCAGGAATCAGGAGGGACTACCACATAGAGAGAGAGCCCTTGGCTTTTCCCCATCATAATTTCAACCTCCCTCTTTTGAGGGCCTCCTGATTGTTTTCCTTTTATTCTTAGGGTCTCAGGGATGGAGCTGTATCACAAAATTAGTACCAGCCAAGTAAGAAATGGACCCATATATTTGCTAGGCTTGAAGGTCATTACTATTTTTTTTTCTCCCCAGGAAAGCTGCTGAGAGACTTGGAATATAAGACTGGTGAGTTGAGTGTACAAAGAGTTTTCCCAGATTCATCTCAGTTAAAGGAAACTCCCCCTACAGAAATTTTGGCTGCCACCTGTCAGCCCAGGTAGCCCCCCTAATTTCCCAGCTGGAGTCTTGAAGCCCCATTCTCCTTGCATTTTTTGGCCAATCTTCTACTCTTTAGTCTTCCTTAGGGCCTCTGCTTGGTGTTGGAATGCTCCTCTGCCCCGTGTTATTCTGTCCTCACAGGTATTACCACCAGTCTTTTCCCTGTGGCTAAGTTTCTACTTGTCTGCCTGACCATGTGGTCCTTTGGAGCAAATAGCAATGGTGGCTCAAGGTCAGAGGCCATCCCTGCCAAGGCCAATGCTATGCTCGCTCTCAGCCCTGCTGCCAGGTTGCGCACTGCGTACTTCTAAGGGATAGATGTCAGTAGCAGCCCTTGGATTATGTAGTGTGGCAGCCTTTCCATGGATACCATCAAGACCCCTTCAGTTATGCAGTGTGGTATCCCTTTTTACCTTGCCACTTACACTGTTACTTCTTCCCTTGTCCCCACAGTAAGTGTCACCCTGGACCCACAATCAGCCAGTGGGTACCTGCAGCCATCAGAGGACTGGAAGAGTGTGACTTACACCAGCCTGTACCAGAGTGTCTACCAGCACCCCCAGCAGTTTGACTGTGAGCCAGGAGTGCTAGGCAGTAAAGGTTTCACCTGGGGCAAGGTGTACTGGGAAGTAGAGATAGAGAGGGAGGGCTGGTCAGAGGATGAAGAAGAGGGGGACGAGGAGGAAGAGGGGGAAGAGGAAGAGGAGGAAGAAGAAGCTGGCTATGGGGATGGATATGATTGGGAGACAGATGAAGATGAAGAATCACTTGGGGATGAAGAAGAGGAGGAGGAGGAAGAAGAGGAGGAAGTTCTGGAAAGCTGCATGGTGGGGGTGGCCAGAGACTCTGTGAAGAGGAAGGGAGATCTCTCTCTGCGGCCAGAGGATGGGGTGTGGGCTCTGCGCCTCTCTTCCTCAAGCATCTGGGCCAACACCAGCCCTGAGGCCGAGCTCTTCCCAGCACTGCGGCCCCGGAGAGTGGGCATCGCCCTGGATTATGAAGGGGGCACCGTGACTTTCACCAATGCAGAGTCACAGGAACTCATTTATACCTTCTCTGCCACTTTCACTGGGCGCCTCGTCCCCTTCTTATGGCTCAAGTGGCCAGGAACACGCCTCTTGCTGAGACCCTGAGCCTAACACCTGTTCTCAGCCCCACACCCGTGGATGTGTCACTTCTCTGAGATCCCAGGACTCTGATAGGGGAGGTGCCTGGCCGAGCACCTGGAGCAGGGCAGAGGAGGAACCCCATGGCCACTGCCACGCACCTCCCCATCACCGTGGCCCTCAAGACTTCACTCAGTGCTGTCACTCTGTCTGTAATGCCCTCATCAGGCTCTTCTGCCTCTTGCTGGTTTCCTGTGGGACCTTCTGGCCCTGAAGTCCTTGAGGGCTCCCTTTCTTCTTTTTAACTACCCTATGCTCTTATCTTTGTGCTCTTTGTTGAATAAGGGGCCAAGGAAGGATTTTCTGGTCCAATATGGCATCCTGCGCCAGCTAGTCTTGGGAGGGACCATCATTTACACCTGAGACCCATTTTGTTGCCCTCAAACCTTTTAGGTTTCCCTTGCCAAAACTCACTCAGCTGTCCACCTTCCCTGGCATTTTACACAAACCTGCTCCCACCTCAGCTCAGATTTAAACATACATGAAAATGCTAGAAATAAACTGAAAAAAAACAGAGACTTCCCAGGCCATTTAGGTTGGCTGCCTGGAATGCTGGTAGGAATTATGTTCTCACAGAAGGTTCAGGACAAAGTCCTCTAAAATCAAGCTGGGTGTATGAGGTTTCCATAGCTAATAGGTGGGACTCCCAGAGCCTTGGGGGAAGGCTTTGGGATAACAACTGTGATAACAAGAAATCAACTGTGTGGATTGGTCCTTATAAGGAGAAATTTTTTTTAAAAGATCTAGAACATCTTGTTCTTGATTCCTATATCTAAAAACACCAGAGCAGATGCCCAAGACAGCAAATCCTCCCCTGCTAAGGGGACTCTCATCATTTTTTCCAGGGGTGTTAGGCTTTTGTCATTGGCCACTCAAGAGTTCAAGCTCAATTCTCTAGAGTGGAGGGCAAGACAAAAGCTTTGAGGAAAGGGAAGGAAAATAGGAGTCCACATCAAGCCTTTTAGATCCTCGTGTCAGGGAAGAGATCAAGGTATCTCCTCACTGCCTGTGGATTCAACCCTTGGTCCAAATGCCCCTAGCTCCCACAGTTTAACACAAGCTCACTGCTCTAGCCAAAGTGTTGTCCCAGTTTTTGTCCTTTCCAATTTAAGTGTTCCACCAGTCCCCTGCTTACCCAAGCATTGATTCCTCCCCTCTGGAGGATTGATTGCTCCCTTCCACTCTGGTTCTCAGTGGTCTCTTAGCTACCATATTGTCCCAGAGTGGCCCACTTTGTATGTATCACATGCTGCCTGAGTCACATGTACATCTTATTTCTGTATCTAGTTTGTAAGCTCCTCAATGGTGGATACCATCCCTTAATACTTCTCTTATAGTCTCCATGGCACCTAGTGCCGTGCTGGGCACAGAGTAGGTGCTCAATAAAGACTTGTTGAATGAACAACCTGGAGATAACGTATATATTTATTATGACATAGAGGTCACCATACTTATTGTGGCTTCAAAGAGCTTCTATTGATACTAATATCCCAGAGTTTTCTTTTGTTTCTAGAACTCTTGACTGCTTTCTATCTTCTCTTTGCACACATACTATCCTTTCTGTAAATCCCCAAAGAAGAGCCTTCCATAGACACAGATGGTTTCACCTTGTTCTTCCTCTCCTGTAGTTCCTTGAGCTAGGTCTAGCAGTAAGTGATCCACCTTGAGAAGGGTGGTAGCAGCTGGTATACCCATATTCTTGGGAAATTGATGCCCCCAAGAAAATGCCATCTATAGCCAGTCTTGGCTGCATTCAGTATTTAGCCACTTCTAAATTTTTGAAATTGCCATTTTAAAGACAGAAACAGAAAGATTCTACAAAACTACCTCTGAGATGACACTAATGGCAAAGAGCATATTTCCTCCCTGTACTCCCATTTGGGGACTCAAATTTTCCATTTTTATTTTTTAATGTGCATTAGTGTTTTATGAACTATGCCTACATAAATGATCAACTTTCTGTAGTGCTTCCAAAAAGAGCAATCCCCTGCTTCATTCCTCTCTCAATAAACCTGGTTCATCTTTTTTAAGCAGACTATTAGTGTTTATTTTCAATTCTTAATAACTTGAGTTTAGGGACTTATCCCCTGATTTCCCATTGTAAGGGAGGAAGATTTAGTTTTCTGCCCTCAGTGTACACACTTTCCCACCTATCCCCAGCCCTTCAATGTGGTCCTAACATTGAATAAGTAACCAGTCTGTCTATTATTATGTCTGAGTTCCTGCACAAGTTTTTGTCTTCCCTGGAGTCAATAACTGCTCTCCCCACCACTTCTGCTTTATTTCCTGTGACTTTATTACTACTCTAACCCCTCCCCAGTTGCTAAAGATCTCAAAATGCTCTTATAATTTTGTCTGATGCCTCTCTTCTGAAGCCTCCTGACTTTGAATCTGGAGCCATTGCTCCCTCACCTGTGCACGGCTTCCTGCATCTCCCTTCAACATCATATTGAGGATCCTGGGTTGGCTGCATTTCTTTGTCTTTTGTCTTCCCTCCTAATTTACTTCATTTTGATGAAGCATCATCTAGTAATTTCCTGAGAAAAGGTACCTGTAAGTTAAATCTTCTAAGTTGAATATCTGGAAATATCATCCCACTTTCACAATTAAAGAGTTTTGCTAAGTAAAGGATTCTTGAGTGGAAATAATTTTACTTAGGAATTTCAAAGGATGGCTCCACTGCCCTCTGGCTTCCATCTTTACTGTTGAGAATTCTTGTGGACCTTGGTTCCTGATCCTTTGATTGTGACATGCTGTTTACTGGAGGTTTGGGTGTTTTATCTATGTCCTCACTTAGATTTCTTGATGTACCTTTGTATGTTTTTTCCCTCTCCTTGTGCTGTATAACTCAATGAGCCTTTTGTGCAAGAGATTTATAGTCTTTTGGTTTTGGGAAATTGTATTGAACTATTTCTCGATGATTTTTTCCTCCATTTTTTACCTGTTTTCTCAAATTGATTATCTGCAGCCTTCACATACCTCCTGAGTGCATTTATAGAGTACCCATGATATGCCAGAACATTTCTAGGTTATAACAGTGATAAGGGTAACAGAGTTCTGCACTCGTGGAGTTTATATTCTACTGGAGGGAAATAGATGTGATAGAAAAAATGAATGTGAACATGTTTTGAATATGTTTTGAGGTTAAGGTCAACAGGACTTTCTTGGAAATAATCAGAAAAAAAAATGAACTGGGGTTTTGAATAAGGAGACAGATGAAAGTTAAGAAGTAGGTTTAGGAGCAATAGTAATAAAAGTCAACAGTACTGTTTTGCTTATGCTACATTTGAGATAATCCACTGGGCATCTAAGTGGAGAAGTCAAGCAGTTAATTGATTATAAGAAATCAGGGCTAGAACAACTGGATTGGGAGGATAGATAGACAGATGCCACTTAAATTCATGGAATGAGTGTGAAGATCATAACTAGAATGGGTCCATACTGATCCTTGGCCTTTGATATATAGATTGGCCAGGCAAAAAAGCTGGCAAAAGGAATAGAAGCCACAGCCAGTTGGGCAGAAAGAGGCCAATAGCAGAGGAGAAGAGACGATGTTTAAAGGAAGGTATGGCCAACTATGGTGCTCCTGAGAAGTCATGGAGGTGACAGCGGGGAAGTGATGGCTTTGGCCATGTGGAGAGGATGGAAGATGAAATGGAAAAAACAATTGTAACATTAAAAAAAATTAGCATAAAATGGATGCTAATTGTTGGAACACTAGATGGAGGGCCTGTGTCATATATGGTACCCTCTGCACCCTACCCTGTCACCTGAAAGGATGATCTCTGTGGGATGTATTAACCAGGGTCTCTTGCCCTCTGTCTTCTAATTGGGCTTAGCTAATGCATCATACCTGCAGAACATCCAAGGGTGGGAGCAGAGAAGCTGGTGTTTGTTCCCCTTCTTGTCCTTTGCCAGGAGTTGGCTAATGCTATTCTCTTCTATCTTAGGCCACAGCTCCTGTTGGAGCCACAGGTCTCCAAGTTCCATTGCTGCTCCTCCCTTACCCTTTCAGAGCTGGGGTCAGTAACTGCACTTGCCAACCCAGGAATGCTTCGCTGTTCCTTGGTTTGCCTTAACCCTACATGCATCTTTTTAAATAGTTCCTCCATTAAATTCTCCTTAAGTACTCCTTTTGGGCAGTGGTCATGGTAACAAATTAACTTTCAGGTGGGGGCAATGGAGGAAAGAGGAGGAAGGTGGAAATGAGACATGCTGGGTTGAGTGTGGAACTAAGGAGACTGCTTGTGCTACACATTTTTTAGGAGGATGAGCAAAGAAGGTTCCTTAAAGCCTGGTTGTTATATTTACATTAAAGTCTGTGAGAATAAACATGATGAGATAAGATGTAATTATTCAAGTAATCTTCTTTGGGGTGTGATGAAGAGAATGGAGTGAAGAGAAGGAATGGAGAGCATGCTTGACTTATAGAAGTAATAGGCTGGTTCCCAATCTAGCTCATGAACTTGAGAGACAGTTCTTGAAGAATCTTCCCGAAGGAGTCAGGAACACTTTTGAATAAAAGAAGATTGAATGATGAAATGATGACAAAAGTGCGCTACCGCTTGAGCCACATACCCAGCCCCAAAAAATTGTCATAGACTTGTTCTTTCATCTCAATATTTATACCTCTTAGGTCTCTTAATTACCTAGGACCTCCAGTGCAAGGTTGAAAGAAGTCATGATGTCATTCTCATTTGGTTCTTGTTTTTTAATGGGATGCTTCTATTTTTTAGTTGGAATTATTAAGTATGTTCAATTTGAAGTTTGATATATAAATATATTCTTTATAGAGTAAGAAAGTTTTAATTCCTAGTTGAAACATTTTCATTAGGAACGAGTATTAAATTATATCAAATGCCTTTCTATTTATATTCAAACAACCATCTTTTTTTCCTCTTATTAATGAATAACATTAATGAATATGTTAGATCAATTTTTCTATTTTGGGACAACAATCATTTAATTTCTGCTTGATTTCATTTATTAATTTTATTTAGAATTTTTATGTTTATATTTAAAATAAGGCCTAAATTTTTTTCTCTATGTAATTTTAATATCATTTATATTAGGTTCATAAAGTGATTTGGAAAGCAGAAATTATCTTCTTTTTCTCCCAAAGTTTTCATAAAATTTGCCCACAAATCAACATGGACATGGTGTTTATTTTTGTTGGGGGGGTGGGTTCAGGGGAGAAGGTATTAAATGTTTTATTTCTAATTTTACTTAATGAATGGTTATAGATCTATGTAGGTTTTCCATGTCATCAGGAGTGAATTTGAATAAGTCATTAAAATAAGGTTCTGTTTTTTGTTTTTTGTTGGTGCTGGGGATTGAACCCAGGACTTTGTGCCTACAAGGTGAGTTATATCCCCAGCGCAATATAAGGTTCTTTTTTTATAACATTTATTTTTTAGTTTTCGGTGGACACAACATTTTTATTTTATTTGTATGTGGTGCTGAGGATTGAACCCAGCGCCCTGCACATGCCAGGGGAGCGTGCTACCACTTGAGCCACATCCCTAGCCCAATATAAGGTTCTTAACAGTGTATTTGGTCCTGTTTTTTTTTTAATTTCTAATTTTTTTATACTTTTACTGTATGTTGGTCAATTTTGCTGAAGATTGGCTATATTGGTAATCTTTTTAAAAACCAAGTTTTCATTGTTGTTGAATGTTTTGATTATCTTCTTTATTTCACTCATTTTTATTCATCTCTCTCTTAACTTTTTTTAGGCTTTATTGTTTTTAACTTACTGAGCTAGACATAGTTTAATTTCACTATTTTTTCTCCAACATATATGTCTAAGACTGAATTTCTTATCTAAGTAATGCTGTGTGGACTAAAAGCCATGTCCACAAAATTCTTTGATACTCTTCTTCCTCTTTGATATTCCTTCCATCTGTACTCAAGAGGGAGAGGAGCTGGAGGATAAGAATTTTATATTCTATCTTTCTCCTTCATATACTTCACTCCTACCACTTTTATTTCTTCACTAATATATTTTTCTAATCTCCCATTTACTCAATATACCTATATTTTAATTTTCGTTTGTATCAATATCAGATGAATAGTATATAAATATTGAGAGATTCATGTACAAAATTTTCCTTTTTTGAATAATTTTCCCCTATCTTCTGCCCTCTAAATAACCTATTAGTCATTTTGTTCATCTGTGTACACAGTCAATTCAAATAAATGTGTAAATGTTGTACAAAACAACAACAACAACAAAATAAAGAGGTAGAGGGGTTGAGGGTGTAGGTGAGTGGAAGAGCCTGCACTTAGCACACGCAAGGCCCTGGGTTCAAGCCTCAGCACCAAAATAACAAAGTGATAGAGCTTAATTCTGCCTTCCTTGAGTATTAGTTGGACTTAGTGACTTAATCCTGACACATGGAATACTATAGCAGTGATGGCATGTGAACTTGAAATTGGAAATTCTAGCTTCAGATCACTTCAGATCCAGCTGGTATGTTGACTGCAGCTACATTTCAGAATCAGAAACTGAACCACCCAGCTAAGTTGTTCTCTGATTTCTGACCCACAAAAACTGTGAGATAATAAATTTTTATTTACATAGATGCTAAAATTAGGGGTAATATGTTACTATGTAGTAATATGCAAATAATGCAGCTGTGTTATCTACATCAAACTCTGCCAAGTGATATTGTCTTTCAGTTGTAATATTTTGAAATTTTCATTATGATTCTTTGGTCCATGAATAATTTACAAGTGTTTTAAAGTATTATGACTGTATAAGCATTCTAAATCATCTTTGACTTTTAATTTTATTACATTGTGATCAGAGATCATTGTCTGCATTATTGACAAGATGAAAATCATTTAGACATTGTTTTATTTTTAAAAAGAGGCCCGTCAGTTATGGCTTTATTATGTCATCGTACACCGAAGGAGATAGGTACTTTCCAAAACTAGAAGCAAGAAGTTTTGCAAGCATTCATATTGTTAGAAAACATGTTTATTCAAATATTATGACCAGAGAAATTATCAAACAAGAAAGTTGTTTAATGAAATAGACACTTTCAATGAAATGTTTTATCTGATTCTACAGACCAATGTTGGTCTCTGGAAAGAAACTTTTGTTACAAATTAACATTTTCAAGAAGAGATTTAAGAAAATGGGAAACAGAATTGGGTGGATTATAGTTACAAATTGCCACACAACTCTATACCCAGAACTGTGATGCTTTCTTTAATGTCCTTGGCAGGATACCTTACCAGAACATGCAGGAGGAAAGATCATCACTCTTTGTTTCCTTCTGATACTCCTTTCAGCAGCAGCTGCTACTTGGGAGAGCCAACATCCCCAACACTAAGCATAGAAATTCTACTGGCTAATGGAAGGAGAAAAGACAGGCTAGCAGCTTAAAAACTTAAAATAAGATAGAAGAAAGTGGGGGAAAATATTAAACAGAATATGGAGCATATGATGTTTTACTTTGACAGTGATGTTGATCTACATCTAGGCATTGGTCATTTTCCCAAAATGGTCCATGAGACTCAAAAAGACTATTTCCACCATGAAGTTCAAGGTTCTGTATATGCCCATTAGATAAATCTTTTTATACAAATATGCCACATTATTATTGGAATTAGAATTCCATGGTTCAAATATTTTAGGTCCTTAGTGATTTTTTTGTCTTTAAGTATCAATTGTCAAGAAAGATGTGTTCAAAAATATGTTACTGTGATTGTTGGTGTATCCAGTTTCCTTTGTGGAGTTCTCTTAATTGTTATATTCATTAGAGCTTAGAAGTGTTAGTTTCCAGATAAGTTGCTCCTTTTATCAAAATGTTGTATCCTTCTTTCTCCAACCTAATAATACTTCTTTCTTTTTTTCTCTGATACTGATTTATTTATATCAGCTTTTCTTTGGTTATTATTGGCTGATGTATCATTTTTAGTCTTTGTCACTTTTTTTGTTTTCTTGTAAATAGCATAACTGTGTTTTGTTTGTGTGTTTTGTTTCTTTGGTTTTATGTTTTGCCTCTGAAGCTAGGAGTTGGTCTTCTGGCAGATATGTTTATATTTACTATGATTATTGATAGAACAATTTATTTCTTTCACATTGTCTTATGATTTCTATTTATTTTCTTCTCTCCACCTCTTTCTCCTGTTTGTTAGATTGAGACTTCTTTATCCCATTCTTTCTCTTTTCCTGGTCTGGAACTTATTCTCTTTCCATTTATCCATAAATAGAAATTTAAATGCATACTTGAATTTAAAAAATAAAGTGTATCTGTGTCACTTCCTCTGAAACAATACAAAACCTTGGAATACATTAACTTGGACCACCTCCTCATCTGATGTGACATTATCATCATAGCAGCTTTGTTCCACCCTTGTGTTGCTTCCATTTTCTTAAAAACAGTGCTTCGAAGACAGGTTTATCATTCCCTGAGTATGCACATGCCAGAGTTCCTGTAGGATGAAACTATGGATCACAGAGTGACAACTTTACCAGATAACGCCAAATTTTTTAGAGTAGTCACACCAATTCACACTTCCCCTGTGGGGTTGAACTATCTTGTTGTTCGTGATTTTTGGTAATGTCTGCCTTGTGAACATCTATCTGCCTGTCTAGTTGATAAGTATGAGAACACTGTGGTTAAAATTTGCATTTCCTGGGCTGGGGTTGTAGCTCAGCAGTAGAGTACTTGCTTAGCACATGTGAGGCACTGGGTTTGATCCTCAACACCACATAAAAAAAAATAAATAAAGGTGCTATGTTCATCTACGCCTAAAAATCAATCAGTAAATAAATTTGCATTTTATGGCTGCTAAGGAGGGTTATGTAGGGTTACTTTTCAGGTTTCCTCTCCTGGTAATGCCACTCAAATGTTTTATGTTTTTCTCTCAGACTATCTTTTACATACTCATCTGCAGTCCTTGATGTGCTCTTTTGATTAAGCCTTTTGTCAGTTGTGTTTATTATCAGTATCTTCTTCCATTTGCAATTTGTCTTTTCACTCTTTTTAGTGTCTTGGTTATCAGAATTTCTTAACTTTAATGCTGGAGACTTTATTAATCTATACCTTTGTGGGAAGTGCTTTTTTATCATACTTAAGCGATCCTTCTCTACTTAAAGATATCCTGTATTATCTATTAGAAGATAATATTTTACAGATTTACATTTTATGTTACAGCGTAAAATTTAAGCAAAGTTGCAGTTATTGCTTCACAGATAAAGTTTTATTGGTTTTCCTTCAAATGTTGATTTAACCTTTCTTAAGATGACCCTGAGCACACCGTATTTTAGTGTTAAGATTCCAGTTAGCTGCTGCTGCTGTTGTTCCATAGACTTAATACTTCTTCATATTTAC